CGTTGTCTCCCAATAGAATGGAGGCACAGCAATGTCAGTTTGTTTCATTTTATTTGCCAAGATATATCTGGTTAGAGGCACTAATATGTATATATATAAAGCTAGCTTTAATTAATGCGAATGTGACGTTGATGCGAAGCTTTGTAGGATCTGTTTATCTCTCTGCGAGTGTACTTCAGGCCTTAGCCTACAAAAGGATGGCGGCAGGTATACAGAGAACCTCAGACAAGTCCATCGTTGAATGAAGCCACAACCAAACGATGATGCGATAGGATCTCTTCACGGATTGTGGAATGAGTTGATTCTTCGAGCTACAACAGTTGTCTTCCGATTTTACAACGGATATTCGCGCTTTCACGAAGACAATCAACTGACACGTATCGCCGAGTGTCCCGTTGTACGTCTGTGTGATACAAAGCATTGCGTCCTCATAATAATACATAATGCAGTCCTCTTGAACAACCCAAGTTATTTGTTGTCGTTGCTGCTATAATTGTATATTCCACTTGGCTTTCTTTTCGGCTTAAAGTGTTTAAACGTAACCAGACCTCAGGCTGCGATATAAATCGGGCGCCATCGCTGGTCGTCCAGAAGTATCTCACTGGAGAATGAATGGCACAATGTTTGCCAATGGCAACATCTTGGTTTTATGTTTTCCAGCAAATTGCACATTCCGTAATTCTGTTATCGCCTATGTAAATGTCGGTGAGACTGTGGAATCCTTATAACGGACATGCATCTTAAATATGCCATGAGTAGGATATTAGCATTACAGTATGTAAGAAAACACTGTTATATATAGATGTTGGCTTAAGGGCTGAAAATGTTAACAGCAAATGTAAGTATCAACAATAAATGGAACGGTACTAAATCCGTTATGCATCTATAGACATCTTGGTATCGATACCTACGCTAATAATAAGGCAATACCTTACATCAAAACGAGAAACCGAATAAGCTGTAAACGGATTTAAGAGTGCATTGAATTTCGATGCAATTATTCATCATTACCCATCGGGGTCATCGATACCCTTCGGACGCGACAAGCACCGTCTAGCGTGCAGTTGACACAGGATTCATACTAGCCGCGGTTGATTTTTCGATAGGGTGCTAACAGCGATACCTCAGATCTGCTGAACGCTTTTTAAGAGCGAAGCGGCCTAGCGTGTGATTAAGGAGAACAACCATAATGAACAGGGTCTGTGCTTGTGTTGGCTACGAACAAACTCAAAGAGCTTTTTTGTACGCTCTCTTGGCAAGAACATGGTACACATGTCCGTTGCCGATTAGGTACGCTGGACTTGTCACCGCAGCGCGAATGGAAGCGTACGCGTGTCCACGAATGTGTTCCTAGAAACTGGGACTGCTGTCGCTGATGTCTATGATTAGCTGATATGCGAATAACTGGTCTGGTAGAGCTAAGGCAATGCAACCTCGTGCAGTAGGCCAAGGCATGTTTGTCGATAGGCTTTCCTTCAGTTGTCGACTTAACACGGCTATATCAGCCCTTATCAGCTTAGGCTCAACTTCACTTGCACTGCTCACGTAAAAGCGTGTTGAAATTCGACATCAGGTGACCAGATTGTATAATTATTGGTCGGAAAAAATCGGGTTCGTTCGAGACGAACGACGTATCGCTAAAGCCGCCTATACAAGTGTTCGTGTAGAGATACATTTTTGGCATAGTTTCGAACAGTCCGTAACATTCAATTGAGGTAAATGACTCTAAATACGATTCATAGATGGCGATATGCGTGTAGTCATGTGTACGTGAAGATGCGTGATCAACAATCTGCTAGTCCTACTCACGGGTAATAATCAATGCTAAGATTATTATATTACTTAAATATAGGACAACATCCATACCTGATATATTTATACAGGGTCCGGTGATACACAGGGAGCGGTGTGCAAATAGCAGTACCACAAGCGATCGGTAATCGATTGACTAAATCAAGGAAATCCATCGGGGGAGGTTGATTCGGCCTTCTGCGTTTATTATAATCAGGGCAAGTATCTGCTTCATCTTTAATTACGCATCATCCATCAACTTACCTACGTAAATGATGGCTACGCATCAAAGACTATGTTCGGGTAAAATGTTCAAAACCATATCGTATAATAATAGTAATAATACACGGAATCAAAAACGTTTCTTAAAAATGGAAGTGACGTTTTTAATTCGGTTCGCGCATCACGTAGACATGACTTGTCGTTAGCTCCGAACTTTGCCCCATAGCAAATTGGAGTAGTATTCGAATTTACTTCGAGTTGAAAGAAGCTGTCGTTGGAAGTTTTAGCATGGAAACTTCGCGCTTCTGAAAAATATCTTCAGTTTACATTTGAAGCCGGGCTAAAAATTTGCTATTATTGACCAAAGCTATTCAGCTAATGTCGATTTCTGCATTATGCCAATTGATATTAGGCAAAATGGTTGGACCTATTGATATATGATGTGTATATAATCCGAAGATCTAGCCTGAAATAAAGAGAACTGTCCTGTATGATCCGAAAATGAAAGCTTAAACATACAATGAAGTTGATCATCAAAAGGCTCAAGTGCAGAGTAATAGCGACCCCAATGCTGGAGCATCCGCTTGAAGAGGTCATTTTTGTTATCTTGTATGACCAGCATCAGCAATGATAAAACTGGGTGATATAGGTCGTCAGGGGCTCACACTTTACAATTGCATAGCAGCTAATTCGTTCAAAGGCGTCATCTACTGCACTGATAAAATCGGTTTATTAGCTTTCATCAGCGTGTCTCTCTTGTAGTCTCGATTGATGCTTGGAAGACTGCGTTATCCACGGCTGAGATATTTCATAAAAAGTGCCCGTCTATCCGCTTATGAGCTTAAGAAAACAACAAATACTTGAGGACGGTATAGTCGAACTTTAGTATTAAAAGCATCCTGCAAAAATGCATCCGAACTATTTCATTGATGCTTCATCTAGATACTCATGTTCTGTGTGAAAAAAATGTTTGTCAACGATAATTAAGTTATCAGGCCATAAACAGGGCCACGGACATGACAGACAAAGCCTACGTAGTACACATTAGCTAATTATGAAGCCAACTGAATAGTTTGTACCGATATTCGTTCCGCTTCAGACGTATCGAAGCAAATAAAAGTAATAAATAAATAGCAGTCTGGCAAACAATGTATAGAGCAAATTCTGCTACGCCGGTATATAGTATAGGCCGTAGTCCTTAAAGGGTCGCCGCAACTCCCATCTGAATGTGGAATGCTTTCTTGAATCTGATCACTTCGGAACGCATCGGAAAATAGCATGCCTGAAACAGAACTGACTTAAGGACAGAAAAGCTCTACACAGATTTATTACTTCGCAGTTTAATTTTATTGCTACTGATAGCATGAACATGATGAAATATGATGAAGAATACATTCATGTACCGTTGTATGGAATACAAGATGTCGCCAGCCGCAATGATGCCATCACACATTCCGATTTCTATGTCAAAACAGTTTGTTTTACATTCACATAGGCTGAACGATTTTCTGGTGGCACTTATCATCAGCAGAGGAGGGCCACCACGTTTAGTTGAGTCAAATAATTCTCCAAGAATAGAATAAACAATGTGTGTTTGCTTGTCTGTTTGTAGAAGCATTTATCTGTGTGATCTTCCACATGTCGAAAGAGGTCAAGCATGCTTTGTTAACATTGTAGCTACTGCTCATTTAGCCTTGTTATTCAAAAACACTACTTAAGCAAACCATATTTTAATGCCCAGCTGCAGGACGCGAAATAGGGCCACGAACATAGTTGAAATGTATATAATTATTTGTATTATTACCGCTAATACTGTGAATGCAACACATGCGTCAGTAAAGGAATGTAGCAGTGTTTTTTTTTTTGTTTATACCTTCGACGTCAATCCACAAGATAGATAGCGTCAGTACTATACCCATAGTAGTATTATACGTAGGACATCGCCCGCAATAACGCGAACTACCAATGGTAAATCAGATTGGCTATATTCAGCCTAGGCTAAATCCTGTGCCAATCATTTATAGCCGAGCACACAGACCGCAGACAAGAGCCACATAGGAGACAAGTAAGTAAAACCTACATGGGTAAACTATGCCAGCATAGTTGTATCTATTACTAGTCACGACAGTGTCACAAACAGGTTGTGTTTGTTTGTGGATGTTGTTATTGGCTTGCGGTATTCTTGCATGCTAAGACCATTCGTCACTAAACGCCAGGCGGAATGGGAGCAGCGCCCTTATTAGCGAGGCCATCGAGTTAAGAGGCGAGGCTAGAACATCAGCAATAAGACATTCTCCTAGCTTTTCATCTGACAGGACTCCTTTTCCAGAGAGGCTCGACACGGGTAACCATATTCATGGTCTGTCTTTTTGAGACGCTATTCCATTGATGAAAATCCCCAACACTAGCGACAGTTGTAATTCCAAGTGGTTGTCTCGTAATAAAGAGACATAACAATGAATCGTGTGTATGTATGTATGCATGCAAGTGGGTCAGCCGATGCGCTGTTCGTGCTCTTGTAGAGCTAATATGGCATCATTGTGTACGGCGGTACGATGCAGACGGGCTGCATTCTAACCCAGACACTTTTATAATGGTTTATAGTTATGATTTTATCAAAATTATTTGTTCGTATCTCCACTTCAATCTGAGTCTTGTCGCGTACATTCTCGACTTGGCACTTGACGCTTCGGCGTGTCCCATGCTCACAAATCATTTCGGCAAGTGTTTATCTTTGACATGATGACTCTGCCATCTTATATGAGCGCCAACTTTAAAGCCGCACTGGCCAATCGCTATCTGAGGTGTATGCGATTATAAATTAAATACAACTTTAATTTATGCAGTACAACTTTGCGTTTCTTAGTCAGCTCTTTTTGGCCATTTTGTCTTGCTGCGTTGCTAGAGTTTTCTGCTCTAATTGTAAATAATATAATGAATGCAGCATATTGTATTGTTTTGCAGAGTGAATTGCACTGGCAACGTCAACATTGTACAATTGTAAGTGTTTTTTTCTATCTTCGTTTTCATGCCCCATTTTTCTCTATCCACTCCGCGCCCAACGGTTAATTCAGTTTAATGAACACTCCGTTGCGCCTTTTTCGCGCCCACAGGCTGAATCACCAATTAGTTCTATTTAGTACCGCAATCTATCCAATGACAATCTTTACTATTATGTTGATCTTCCTCATCGCCCAAATCCACATTCTTTCCGCTGACAACAGAAGGTGTACTCGCCGTTCTTCCGCCGTCATCGCATCTCACGTTTAGCGAGAAAGACCGTTCGTTAGAGAGCAAAATAGAAGTTTTAGTTTGGTGTCACTGCAGTACAGCCCATAAAGCTAGCTGCGTTATACGGCAGCCGTTGTCGTCGTTACTTCTAGTGTAACTGACCTCCCCATGTAGCTGCCGTACCACTAGTCGCTCCTATATTGTGGCAATAGACCGAACGAACCTTCGGCTCGATTTGCTGGACTGACTCGCTGTCGGGTCGCCGTCGCTCCTGCTGTAGGGAGAGAGATGCTCCACGATGCGCCCTGACTGCCCTATGCGGCGCTTGCTAACGGCCGGTAAAAATTGTATCTGTTTTTTACTGGCAATTTCGCTGACGTCGCCGACTGACTCTTACTACATGGTGTTCCTATTGATTCATCCCGGAAGAGACCGCGTAACCCCGTTGCGTCACAGACGATGGACACAGAAACAAGGCGACTGAGTGAAAAGCGAACTACTACTACAACTCGTGCCCTGAAAACTGCCGGTGTATACACCATAAACAAGCCAGAAATTAAAATTTACTACTGCGTTGGTGCTGACCAGGTGCCATTTGTTGGGTTCTGTTTATCGATACCGTTGCTGCCGCCATAGTTGTTTGAAGGACGATTTCAGCAGAAAACTGTTATTATTGTTAGAGCTGCAGATTTAAAACTGGAGTAATGCTATTGATAGAAAGATCAGCCAGCGATGTCATACCTCTGCTGTCGAATTGGCAGAACGGAGAAATCTTTTGATAGAATATAAAAGGGAAGAAGGAAGATCCCGGCAGGCACGGAAACCACAAGGAATCGCACCGCGGGTGGAGTATGGACTGAACCATTGTCCCGTTCGGAGGCAAGCCATCGTATCGCATAGTTATCTTGGCCAACATCAGCCGGTCGTTTCGTGTGCGTCTTTCGTCTGCAGATTCCATGGCGGTAGCTATGCTACGACCTAATGCAGTACTTTCTTTTTGTTATCTCGAAGCGACTCGCTAATATTTGACGGTTCCGGCAGAGGGATAAGAATTAAGCAAACAGGTTGCTGATGTAGGCGTTTTCGTTAGTAGGCCGACACTAGAAAGAGGTTAGCGATTACTAGAGGAGGCGGTAATAGGCGACACGCCGCTGACGAGGACGACGATGACGATGAAATTTGCGATATCCACCAACATAGATAACTACAATAACATACATTTAATATTTAATGAAAAAGTGACCAAGCCACTTGTTTTCAATAAGGAACCGAGTGGTTCATACTGGTGCCGCTAAACTATGTGAGGTGGTATGTTGGTCACATATAATTAACTAATTTTATCAGAAAATTTCATTGAAAAAATTAAAACGATATATATATATATATAGATATAACGATATATATATATATATCTACATAGAGAGAGAGAGAGAGAGAGAGAGAGAGTTTGATTTTTTATTGAATATCGACATTTTTGTTTAAGTTTGCATTAACTTTTTTAAATTTTTTTAAAAAGTTTAAAAATTGAATTGTGACTATCTATGTATATACAGTGTTGTATAGGTTGACTTACCTTGAAGATTTATCTTCTGATCTTGATTGATGCTAATTGGCCTGAAAGAGTGGAAGCGCAATCGTGATTTTTAAAGTAGAAAAACAATTTAATGGGGGCAAAATCAATGTCGCTACTATCAGTTAAACAGGCATTAGTAACAATATGCGTCTAGTTCAGGTTATGACACCTTTATGACCGACATGAATAATGAATTGTATATTGGAAACTTTACGAATTTTTGTTAGAATAGTATGCATCTCGTGGAATACGTCTGCGTCACTATGTATAAACTGTAAAAATTACTAGTTTAGTTTATATTAAAAAACTTAGTGAAAATTCACTCCACAACAAGATATGATATAAACATGTCTGTGGTGAAGAAGTAATTGAACCCTTCACTTGAAGTATCTGTCTACAGTTAGATTCATATAATCAATGGATACCATGTATTTTTCTTTGCGATGTCACAAACAGAAAGTCCGATGCACTACACTCTGTCATTGCAAGCATTTAACCAATTAGTCAAACCGTTATTAAATCCGATGGTATAAAAGTTTCCCGTGATGTGCAGATATTTCCAGCAGTACATCGCATATAGTCGACTAAAAGGTTGCGATATTTCTCCCTTTGGCCTTCGTTGCAGGCGATGTGGTAGTCGGAGCTACAGTGCTTTCGAGCGCGTGTACTTCATGACACTTGCAACAGTTGCAGTTCGTGGAGGTCCGTACATCGCCCCATTGCTTTCCGTGAGCATGGATGAGTCTGGAGCCAGAGGCCAACGTCAGCATCGAGACCTTCCTCCTCAGGCAATGAATGTTTCACCTGTAGCATTGTCCCTGGCGGACGAGGGACCTAGTCCCGGAAGTGGGGCCGTGTCCTCAACGACACCTTCGTATCGAGTTGCTTCCCATCCCGATGCCAGCTGTGAAGGTGAGTAAAGCTCATCAATAAAATAAAATATACATGTAGCTTACGTATAGATATTTACCTCTTTAAGTCCATAGAATGGAGTTGGTGTGGGTAGTTTGTCCTCCATTACAGCCAGCAATCCTCGCTATGTACGTGAAGAGCAATGCGGCTGATGAAGTAACCGTGAGTGAATTATCGATGTGACTATTTAGATAAAATTGATTAGGCTTAAACTTAAGCATTTAATGGTGAAAACATAATTAAAACTGAAATTTATTAGGGGGAGCAGATCATGGAACGTTTTTTTAAATTAAAGAAAAACTTCTAAAACCACGTATTAAAAGCTTTTAAGCCACCGCATTTCGCAAATACAATATAGCATTCTATTTATAGATGTTATTTTTAACTTCATGCTGAAGTGCTTCGAATTAAACTATACTATAACAGAATTTATGCATTGATTTCCCTTACCAGTTACTCTGTTCTCTGATCAATCTTGAAGGTAACTAAAAATCTGGAAAAATGTTGTTGTTTGCCATTCTCGCTATCTTTAGCATCGACGATCCATGGCTTGCCCGGCACCGGCACATTGTCAGGAGCGGCAACTAGTTTGGCGTTAGGTCGTCTGGGTGCCTTGGGCGCCCTTGGTGACACTCTGTGTGATACGCTATCTGCCCTACCTAATCGGGCGCTTTCTGGCTGCATTGAGACGAGCCAAGATCCATCGACGATGATGCTCAAGCTCCTGCACATGTCGATGTCGGAGGAAACGACAAACGACAATAACCACCCCCGTGTTTCCGGTACTTCATCGACCGCCACTGCCGTAAAGCGGACGCCACCAAGTGTTGCGTTTGCGATCGGAACCTCGCAGCTGGATTCCACGCAGCAGGACAACACACAGGTTAGTGATGTTGCCTGATAGAGATCAGTGCGTCCTTAGAAAAGGTGAGAATTGCCCGAAAAAAACTCGTCGAAGTAGTCCAGTTTTTTTCGGACGACTTCAAAAAAAGTTGCCGCGAGCGGTTTGGGTACACCTTGGTAAGTAGGCTGCCGAAAATAAAAAAAAATAGAATATCTTGATGAAGTAGTTAAATATATCGGTGTCTCGAAGACAAAGAAAAATTACAACTCAGATTTAAAACAACATGCTTTTAGGTATCAGTGAAGCTTTGCTTGTGACATTGTACCGAAATTGAATTTAAAACGATACAATTTTAATTGCTCTACAAAGATTTTAAAATCGTGGGTAGTCCCGTAGTCAGTATGAAGATAATTTGTCTAGAATATATTACGAGAAGACATTGTAATCGTATATATACTTGTCAAATTTTTTGGAAAAATTGGAGAACCGAAATTAAAAACTTGGATAACATTATCAAAAACCACAGATCTCATGCTTGTGAATCCGGAAACGTATTTACTCTCCAATCATTACTTATTAAATTTAACGTTACGATGCGTTTGTTAGTTTTTGGCTGATTTGGTCGCTCCCATCACCTCCACCAAACGTTTCCAAAATGATACGATTGATCATATTTGTTGACACTTGAGATGACAAATTAAATGAATTGGAATCTGCAACAATAAACAGCAAAAGATGGACATGGCTGAATATAATCAAACGTAACCGTATTCATTGTCCTGGCTTCTGGGTTGTACTGACCACAACAAAGGCTTCGACTTCAGTAGAGTGCTCATAAATTTCACATGCGTAATTGATGTTTTACATATTCAGGTACAAACTCTAGCCGATTCGACGGTGGCTCAAACCCTCGATGCTGATAGCGCGTCCTCGAACGATAGCTTTACAAGGAACAGTTATACGGGTGAGTGCCGCCTCTCGTTGGCGGAAGAGTGTTTCGGAATCAGCCAATTCGAACGATCGTTTCGCAGACTATAAGATGTGGACACGGCTGGAAAATTTACCTTAGCAGACACGTTCGTTTGTTACTGTTACATTCATCTAAAAACTGAAAGACGACGACGATTATAAAACCAGTATATGCAGAACGAGATCACCCGATGATACCTTACCAAGCCTTCATATTATTCATATATTTGCAAATCTAACAAAATTGATACTGCCTATTAAGGAATAGGATTGGATGTACTGCTACATCCGATCAATCGCTAAATCTTTTGGTGCCCAGACGAGCCAACCAATATGCGTCTTCTGTTGATATATATGTTCTACAGTGTCTAGCCAAGGTGCGGGGACCGTTTCGATGCTATCAGTGGAAAATGAGGAAGCGACATTAGGTTCGGTGTTATCCGAAAGGCAACAGACAGATTTAGCTGGTCTTTCGGAAGCTGGAGGCGATGGCGACACGGATCCAGACGCCGCCGCCGACGCCAAGAACAGCGCGAACGTCCAAAACAATCTGCACAACTTGCAGAGCGCGCTTAGACAACTCATAAGGTGCCTACAGCAAACTAGACAAGTTCTAGCCGGTGGTTGAATTGAAAAGGTTTGAGTTGAATCAACCGGTTAAAATGTAGCCACAATTTCCAGTTGTCAGTAAACGTTGATGCAGGATTCAGCCCTTTGTTTTTCGAAGTTGTGCCAATAAATTCACTCTCCAGCATTATCCAAGACCGTAGGCAAGAACTAAAATAAGATGAAGGACAATTACCTATCACCATAAGTACATGACGTCAACAATACTTAACGTGTTTTGCAAATTTTTGGGGTCAGGGAGGTGAATCAGCAGCAGAAACAACAACAACAACAAACTGGAAATCATTCTCCGGGGGCGAAAGCTGCCGGCGTATCTGTTGATGACACTACAGCTGTGTCTGCAGGTGCAGTAGGAGCGGCCGCGTCGACCACGGGTGGACCTCCTGCTAGGCCACGGCTTACACCCAGTCTCGCGGTTCTGCAACAACAGCACAACAATCGATTAATCGCCAAGAAAAAGGTTCGAGCGAAATTTCACATATATGAGAAAATTATAGGTTGGCGAATTCACGCAGGAGAGCCTAACATTAGCTTTGTTTTCTATTTGGAATGGTAATGTTTGCAGTTCCAGCGCAGAAAAACTGTGTCATTCATTCTCAGAATAAGGTCGATTTCCTTAACTCCAGGCCATTTCGCTTGTATCTCCTTTATAGGTACAGCCCTCTATGTTTCGAATTTTATATCCGGTATTGCCGTTAGGCACTTCGTCAAGCAGGGGGCTTCCAGTTCGAAATGAAGCATGTCTCTGCCCGGATTCGAACCTAGACTACAATGTGTCTCTAATAAGGCCACTACGTCACACACTAAGCTATGTCGAAGCTGAAAATTAAGTTATTCCAGCTTTTCGTTGTTGTTTTAGGTGTTAGTAGCTGCAGCGGCAATGTCCAGCAGGCAGAAGCAGTTGGCAATGATGCACCGACCAGGTCCAATTGGTGGAACTCTCAGGGCGAATAGAGTAGGCGCGGGTCAGCCTATTGGAAGGACACACCAGTTCGCCGGTTTGTATAAGAGAGAGCGAGAGAGCCTAGGCAAAGGTGTTCGAATCCCTTATAAGTATACGTTCATAGGGATGTGTGTTAGATGCGTATGTGCACAGGAGTCTGAGGAACCATTATACCTCAAATAGTGCAATCTCCCACGCTTCATCCATTGCTTAACAATAAGTCCTTAACAATGACATGTGCTTATAAAAGAGTATATGTAGACTCATGACAGTATATGGTACTAACTAGTGAAAATGCCAGAAGGTTCTACAAAACAGCTGTAAAATACCTGTCTCTAAGTCAAATGTCAAAGTCGAAGTGGTTTTGCGATGAATAAGAAGTACAATTTTACCTCTAATTAGCTACACCTCGATTGGTTACAAGTTGAATATGTGTAAACTTGTCGTTGATGTCTATTTGTTTCGGACCTGATCTGGTCCACAGCTACGGGCCCACGCTCATCAATCGCCCACGCTTTAGCACAATCCGTCAGTACGAACCAGCTACCCACCTTGTACACCGCTCACCCAGCAAAGCTGAAAGGTGGACTTGAGTTACGGATCACGATTCAGCCGGAAGAGCAACATAGAGCCAGGTACATGTGCATTTTTAGACGTGAATTTTATAAATGCTCAAGATCGCCATCGACTACTAAGTAATGCTTCAAATACGAGTCTAGTTAAGACGTTAGAGAAACCAGATGAGATCTAACTCAGTAGAATCTGTCCGCTGTTGGCAGATACCTGACGGAAGGGAGCCGAGGTGCTGTGAAAGACAGGACAGGGAACGCCTTTCCTACAGTAAAGGTAAACAAATGGCACTAAAGCATTAACATGGTTGAACACTGATAAATAGGCTATCCTATATCTTCCATTGCGCTAATTCGGTAATAATGCCTATTTGGTGGTCGTTTTCCACCGCGTGCTTTATTTGAATATCGATACCGATTTTGTAATTGAGCGATCTAGATCTGGAGCTTCGAAAAACGCCTACATAGAAATAAATATTAAATCATCTACTTTTCTGGAAGCTAATCAGTACGGCTTTACGTCTAGTGATACAAATTGCATGACAGGCGTGATTAATGGAAAGAAAAATATACTTCGCTGATTTCAGATTTCTGGCACAACTCAAGGCGGACGCCTGTTAGTATTTATCGGAAGTGATCAGGGACGAGCTGTCCCTCATATGTTTTATCAGGCCAGCAAGGTATGAGCCATGGTAGCAAAACACGATATTGTTGATCTAACTTGTTTGTTAATCTGTCTGAGCCGCCATTTCTTGAGGTCAGTCGCCTAGCAAAGTTGAGTAATGAAAAACTAGCGTTTGGTTGTATTTTCATTTTTCTTTACTTCTCTATAAGTAGAAAAAAACGTCCCTATCGCACGAAAAGTCTTAAACCAGTGGGCAATTTGCGGTACCTACACTTCGGTTCAATCAGTTCCTTTACCCTTAGGTTTGTGGCAAGAATGCAAGTCCATGTGAGGAGCTACGTATTGATGGAACCACGGTCATCCAAGTCGCAATACCACAGCAAACGGCCGCAGCTGGCCAGCTCTCAGCCTCCTGCCGGGAACTGGCAATAGATTGTGTCGGCATTCTCAAAGTAAGTTAAACAAATGTTTTCTCTGTTCCGGAAACTCTTCCTCGTTTTGGAAGGTGGAACGGTTGGTAAAATGTTGGTTTTTCTCATAATAATCATAATAACAACACGTGATGAGGCAGTTCTACATCTATATATAAATATACATATATGTCAAGAAACTTCGCCCTCGTCCTCTATATTAAGACTAATAATAAGTAATAATAGAAAAAGTGATATATGGAAATCCTCTCATGAGGGTATGGTTGTAGACATCTATTGTTGATTTTTCTGCAGGAGCGGAACGTGGATGTGGAAAAGCGCTTGGCACGTTACGGAAATCTATTGCCTTTATCAGCCCTCGCTGAGAACGCTACATCCAGGTATACACACCTACAACTTAGAAAATGAAGTTGGCTGACTAATTCAAAAATCAAGTATTAGAAACGACTAAGCAGGACCATTCTGGTACGAGAAGCAAAGACAGACTAGGTTATATAATCTAACAGTTTTTAATAAAATGCAAAAGAGGCCTGAATAATTATACCGGCATAAATTTCAAACGGAACTTATTTGACATAGTCGATTAATTAGATTTTGTCAATTAGGCCAGTTACTAAGTCATGTTCTTTTCTCGTCTTGTTTGCAGTAAGAAGAGGAGCACTCGTTGTCGTCTTGTCTTCAGAGTGATTCTTGACAGTGGAGAAACGCTTCAAACGTCTTCAGCGCCTATACTTTGTAGTGCGTATTCCCGCTATCAACGATATCATTTTTTGCGTTAATTCCAATGACAAATTACGACATACTGCCAATCATAAAGACAATTAGCTTACATATCTATCATAGATATTTAGATGCTGATGATAATAATAATAATAACAATCAAAATATGAGGAAAAATAATCAATAGGCTCAAACTGCGATGTGCTTCTTAAAAACATAATTTTTCTTTTTTATCTATTTTCCTATTTAGCTCAACCTCCTGGTGCGCCTGAAATTTGCAAGAAGTCATTACGTGCGGCGCCGTGCGACGGAGGAACACCAGATACAGAATTGTTCATTATCGGGAAGAACTTCCTTAAAGACACCAAAGTTGTCCTCCGTGAGGTAATTCTTAACCAACTTAGTAAAATATTTGCTCCACGCGATTGACTAAACTTGTTGCTATAATTCACCTTGACAGGATTTTGTCTTTGTGTTGACAAGGCAAAAAAGTGGGTGAGATTCGGGAGATAAATATGGACTGTTTTTTGGACGAGAGCACCAAGCTAACTAAAGTTGGCCATATTAAAAAAAAAACCAAAGACCCACAGGCGAATTGCTCGAGTGCAGACAAAAATGAAAAAAAAAATAAACAACAACAACAACAACAAAAGAAACCCAGAAGGCTGCCACAGGAATACTTCATAGACAGCCTTCAATTGTCTCCCTTTTTCTCACGAATTTTCGACAAATACAACATTTTTTGCTGTTCGCCCCTGTTACAACAGGAGACTCTGTCGTTGTTGGACATTTGCAGACGTTGATATTACGGTGGTCGAGACAGATCAATCTGGGGCTGTGTGTGTAAGGTAAATACTTCTATAGTCGAAAACAAAAAATAGAGGCTTGAGGGTGGGCTAAACAAGGCTGTAGTAAATATATAATGTCAGAAGACTTTTTAACCCAAGAATGAGTAGGCGCACTTCCAATTTGCTCTTGGGGGTTTTTTTTCTGTGATATAAGAAGTACTTTGTCGCCACTGTCCAAATCCTAGAAAGACAATGAAAACAACAAATAACTGTTGAAAATTTCCTTTGTGCAAAGGTTCGATAACTTTCTTGTTTTCTGGTGAATTAAAAAACATCGTTATTTACGTAAGCATTGTACATTCGGATATTGTACAATAATTCGATTGCTTTATTTGCCAGTTATTTGCATATTATTACTATACACAAGTAATAATTAGTTCTAAGAAGTTTCAATGTTTTTCTTTTGATTTTCTTGAAGCTAAAAAATGTTACCACTCACAGGAGACCAAGGAAAGGGTTGAATTTTGTGGCCGTTTTTTGGCTTGTTTTCCCCTGGTATTTTCTTGATTTTCGATCCTCGTTATTCGTCTCTGCCGTTTGTCTTTGTTTGGAAATATCCACCCCAGCCCCGCTGTTTCCCTTATAGGCATTCCCCCGAGTCGAAGCGTGGAAACAGCTTCAAATTCGAATTTGCCTCGACTCATGGAACAGTAGCAAAGTTGAGGCCAACCACGCAAAAGGGCGACCTCGGGTGAGCCATTGCACCTCTCTGTTTTTTTGAAAATTTAAGTTGGCAAAGACCGAACATCAATGTCGAACTTGTTAACAGCTGGAAATCTATCAACGGTGGGCTTTCGTTTTGAAAACCGCGCTTCGACATTGTGCCTCGACAAAGGCTCTTCGTAGACTGGATCCTATCCAAGTTCCAAATAGATATTTTATGTGCAATATATTATTTAAAATAGAAAAACAACGTTTTTGAACTCAACAAGTAAACAACAGAAAAAAGTATTATATACCAACTCAGAACTAACTGCGGCCAAAGGGCTCCCGTAAACCAACATAACTAATACAAGATTTTTAGATCTTCGGCAAGGAGTTCATTTTTTGAATTTCATCTAGGGCTCATTAACTCATTGTAGAGCTCATTAATATAAAGTACAAGTTTTATGAATTTCTCTATTGTTACAGGTGGGTGCGGACGGCAGGGTCACGTGGCAAAGTAGCATTACTCCGGAAAAAGAATACCTGCAGGCGGTAAGGGTCTTCCTTCCTATAAGGAGACTTCCTATAAGTCGTCGAGCAAGATCAACAGCATTAGAATATGGACAGTACTATCACCAGAATAGTCCTTGCAACAGTGTTTATACAAGAATTAAAGATTCGAAGCTACTCAGCTATCTCCTGTTTCAATTAGTTTTGGGTTTTACCTTTGTTACCTAACTGATATTAAGTGCATATAGCATATGACATCCCCTATCCTTTCGTCTAATAAATTTAAGTATCTGCCACGGTGTCTGGGTGGAATTGAATCCCGATTTGCAGACCCACCTGGTTTGCCGGATACCCCCTTATTCCCATCTGGATATCAGCAAGCCTGTCAGTGTGGAAATGGTTATAACAAGCGGAGGCCGCTGTTCCGACCCATCATCATTTGTCTATATGCCGCTCGATGGAAACAGTTGCGTTGGCCTATGCGGAGCGACCGGCCAAAGTTTGCCCTCTTGCCAAATACAGTCGACATCACAACTTGCTCAGCAATCTGTTACACAGTCGTCTGCTCAACAAACACCACAACAGCAACAACAACAGCAGCAGCAACAGCAGTCTCAGCCATCAGAAAAGGGCACTGCCACTCAACTTCAGACAGCAAATTCGATGCTTGGTTGTCCAAAACAAGGTAAGCAATTTTTTTAATCTTCCATGTACCCAACCATCGTTCCAGTGTTTAGTTCGACCATCAGGGGTACACTATAATGAAACGCTCGTATTACGCCGGGCACGTCAATTAAATTTTACTCAGCTTTGACGGTTACTCATACGAGCATTTTGTTTTTCTGAACCCGCTTCTTCGTCACAGAAAATTCGACTGCTTCAGGAAGCGCTGCGAGCGCGGCGACGATTAGCAGTGCACCGACCATACTGCAGATCCCTGTGATGCCGGGCGCATCAACCGGATCAGTAGACACGGTAAACACAGTCAGTTCTGCCGCTTCCGGTTCCACTACGACGCCTTCGCCAACGATTCAGTTTGTCGTGGTTCCGGCAGGTACAGGGCAGGCTCAAGCGGTCCTAAGCCTTTTGACTGGTGGTGCGAACCACCAGGTATCCGCGCCTCTTCAGGGAGTCGTGGCGGCGTCGGAATCCTTGGGACGAGTGGTGGCAGCGGCGAGCCCGACAAACAATTTGACGTTCGCTTCTCCTGAATCAGTAGGATCCGCTAGTCCATGTGAGGTGACTACGACGCCCTCTATAGCGGGATGCGCTTTGGGCGACAACGGAATTAAGAGAAAGATCTCAACAGAGGATATCAAGCCAGGTTAGGAGTAGGATATGTACTAGGCATTTCCAAACCCTGCTTGCTTATGGACTTCCAAATAAGTGATGATAACAAATCTGTATTGTAATGCATTACACGAGAAGTTTTGCCCTAGAAGATACTATTATCAAAGTCTTATGTGTGGCACTTTTTCGGCGCTTTGCCCTTGATCGCTAATAAGAATCACTTTTTCCGTGTTTTAATAGGGAGTGTTTTTGTGTCTAAGCCGTAGGTTTTCTATTTATCACACTTAATCCTATTTTATGGGTCTATTAAGACTATTAGCGATCTGCTAAGGATTCCAAGCTGATGCATGCTAAAAAACCGTTGCCTCAAGAAGTGATTTCGAGTAATCTGACATAGTCGATATCCATTGCAGTGATCGATGGAGGTATGATTGTGGGCGACTTTGTCACCTCGCCTGAACCAGAATCAACTACAATTGCTCCCGTCACGGTTCAGACCCATACAAGTTGGGCCTCCGTTCATTCTTCTCCGCCAGACATGCAGCAGGTTAGTTATTCAAGAACGCTTAAAGTGGAAACACTTCGTATTTCAACAGTCTAACTATAGTTCTCCTTTTGATGTGATATTTTAAAAATTAACTACGTCTTTAACATTAACTTTTTAACATTAACTACGATCCGTAGTTAATGGAAAGCGGAAAAGAAAACTTTCTCTTCTGGATTTTTTATGTTCGCACCTGTAAGTCGAGCTGCAGTATTTGCTGCTATCAAACCAGTTACAGAACGATGGATAATTGCTTTTGAGCAGATACTGAATATTTTTGTAAAACGTGTGTGTGCCTTCGAATTAGAAATCACCCGGCGAATTGTCTATTCTTTTAGGCTGTGTGGGCTGACACTAAACAGCCGATGTCAGCTACCGACCAAGCTGCTATCCAGCACATTGCGACATCCCTGGCAGCTAGCGCTCAAAAGGTCGAAGAAGCCACAGAAGACCTACACACAAAGAAGCAAAAGGTTCTCCTTCAGGACCATCCTCATTCCGACCATCTTTCGCTTGAATCTCCATCAGCAAGTTCGGACAACGTTCAGATGAGTCCCGGTCCACCTTCTAGCAATGTTGTTCAACCAATGTTGTGCCAGCCAACGGCGATGGCAACGGAGGATAGTCCTGGTGGCCAAAGCCCTGGTTCGCAACAGACAAACATTGTCTCGGAATTTTTGGCCGCTAGTCAACAACACGAACAACAAAAACAACAACAACAGCAGCAGCAACAGTCACAGCAACAACAGCAACCGGCGCAGCAAGATATCGTGCCATCCACCCCTGTGACATTCATGAACTCATTCTCCTCGAACGTTACTTCTATAGGGACAAATTTCGCCGGTACCAGGGAGCTGCTCCAACATGTTTCCCAAGTACAGCCATCGTTCGGGAATACAGTCGCTTCAGCCGCGAACGGGTCAGCAGAGCAGAAATCTTCTCAACAACAGCAGCAACAGCATTTTGCAGAAGCTTTCTCGACTGCACAAAACCAAATGACCGGATCCCCGATGCGAACACAAAGTCAAGCCCAACAAAACAATGGGTTTCCCAATTTTGCCAGTACCCCATCTTCGACAAGCTCCGTGCAGAGTGGCGCTGCGGGGAGCTCTCCGTTCCAGCCGCCACCTGCCGATGCATCTAGTTCACCCCATAGTCAATTCTCAACAAGCTCGATGCAGACACCTCCATCATTTCCAGGTCAACAGCCATCGGGTGGACCGCCGTCAAACGGAAGTCCGCCTGCCCCAGGGTCTCAACCTGTACAACAGGTAGCCAGTGTACCCCAGCCAACTCCATCATTTGGAGACGTGTTCAGCCAGTTGGCGGTGACGAATCAGTTTACGGGAGCTGGCGCCGGAGGACCTGTTACAGGGGTTTCGACCGTGACGCCTATGGACTGCCAGTCGTTTGCGCCTCCGGAGATTCCAATGAATGTGGATAGTCCCGTGACATCGGCCACTGCCTGTTCGAATGGGACGAGCCCAGCTACGAATGGTCAACAGCAACAGCAGCAATCACATTCATCAGTTTTTGTTCAGTCACAACAGCAACAACTCCAGCAAGCCAACGTTGTTGTTCAGCCAGGTCCTGTAGTTTCGCCAGTTAACCATCAAATGAGGCTTGCGTCGCCGATAACTAACGGTACTATGCAACAATCCCCAGCCGGTCAAAATTTTACTGATCATTCGATGAACAATTTGCAGTCAGCGTTGACACCAGGAGGTCATACGGCATCCTCCGTTACACAAAATGGCGGGTCCCCGGGTACGATTCAACACCACAGCCCAGGTGGCGGTACCGTCAATACCGGTCAACTACAGCACGGGTTTAGGCCGTCATCAGCCGGGACACTGGGCATACCTGCTAGCCAGAAAATGGATATGGACCAATTTGTTTCACCTGTACAGGTTCAAGTGAGTGAGTCGCAGGCTGTCAGTAATGTGAGTTTAGCTAACCAATTATTCACCACAACTGGAATAGCTTTCCCAGCAACGGCTGGGAGCTCACAAGCGGCTCCACAGCAAGCCGTAGTCAATGGAGGGCAAGCTGTAATCCCGAATGGGACGCAAAGTGGTCAGCCTCTGTTCAACCAGCCATTGGCAAACGCGGGCGAGATGCAAAAGGCCAACGGGCCTATGATCACAATGGATACGTCATTGAGTCACCCCGCGAAGCAGGCGAACTCCCTACAGACGTCAAACCGAAACGCGGTCCAAAAGATGCACCAACAACACGTCTTGCAGCAGGCTGTTCCTAACCAAGCTCCTCCGCAACAGCAGGTTAGAAATACAACAAAAAGGTGGCGGAAGATGATAACTCTGCCTTTTGGCAAATAATAAGAACGTGCAATTCGACATATTATGTGGGGCAAAGATTTGACAGTTTGCAAAAGTCATGTATATGTATATCGCAGATGTAAAATGATGAATCTCGTACCTTAAGGGCAATTATGTCACTACCCGTTCTCATTCTCTAACTGTGTATATATCTCATGCTGATCATTCTTAGCGTGCTTCTACAAACTTCTTTCATTTGTCCAGCAGGTAGTGGTAACTCAGCAGATGGACTGCCAGCTACAGTCAATGTCGATGCTTCCGGAGAGCGAATTGATCCGCATCATCAATCCGGATAATTTCGCATCAGCATCAATCCAGGTACAATCTGGTGTTCAACTATCGACCATGACTTCAACGCTAATGGAGGCAACAGCGTCGTCGCCCGCAGTGAACGTTGCAGCTCGCCACGACCAACCGATGCAACAGGGCGGTCCTGAACAGGCCCTTTTCTGAAGGCCGAATGGTCACACTGCGCAGAAATAAGACTGCGTACAATTCAGAAAGCAGCCTTTATAATTTTAGGGTCTGTCAAGCCAACATTAGCCCTCCAAAGAAAGAAGAAAGTCCTCCAACAAAGCCACGTATGCTGTATATACTATAATCAGCTGTATGCTAAAAGCAGATAGTGTACCTGAGACAAATCCATTAGGTGTCGCTAAGAATCGTCGTCATCAGTAGCAAAAGTTATAATCATTATTGTCATTGTACTAGAATACGATAACCATTCTTGCTAAACATACGATGTATAAAAATTATCACAAGTAACAATACATCGACGGCCCGCGTATTTTAAACGTGTCAACACCACAGTAATCTAGTCTTGAAGCACAGAGGGCACGAATGATACGTTCTTTCCTGTATATTGTGTGATGCTAGCACCGGCATTGGTGGCACCCGAAACAGATTGTCTCTAACGGTTTCAAGCACCAGTGACTGGCAAGCTGATTTATGGGGCTATTTATCATGATATTCAAATACAACGTTTTTAACCTGAAGTGGAAGGAACCCGTACAAAGAAAAACGAAGCCCGCATAATCTGTATGTGTTTTAGCGAGAAACCCGTTCACATAATCTGTATACTGCTGCTTCGTTTGGTATATAAATAAGGCACGTGCGTATAACGGCAATGGTAAACCGCTACGAAGCCAGTAAAGGTCCGGAACAAGCCGAAAAGTACTCTATTCGAGAAAAAAAAAGCTTAAAATGTCGTTGTAATTATGGATTTCAAGAACTTCGAAATTTTTTGTCAGACGGTTGGCTGCCGCTTAGTAGGGAGCGAGCAAGAAATGGAGGACAATACAGAAGGAAACTATTAGTAAAGCGATCTGCAACTGCCAGGCTGTCTGGCGACCTAACCTTTGAGATCGAGCATGTCGATTACATGCCGTACATACGATCTCGTGGTAAAGAATCAATCTCGTCTTATTTGCGACCTCTCGTTTTATGATAAACTTTATCGCTTTATATCAACTGATTAGTGGAAAAAAGCAAAACGTATGGGCATTTTCGCATAGTTTTTAACCATCAAACGAGCACGAATCTTTATATTTTAAAAGTTCACTAACAACGGGCGCCCAACGGGCACATGTGATTGAGCCGTGTAGTATAGGTACAACGTTTATAATAGATTGGTAGAAAAGTGGAGAGGACTGACTGCGGGTAGATCGGGATCACGAGGAAAAAGACGAAGACGAAAATCTCTTGTATGTTTGATACCGTTACACCTATTTAGAATGAGAGGCGAACACTTAGATCCATAGTATACTCGGTTCGTGCAAATTTAATGTGTTTCTGTTCATTGGTTTCCTTTTTTAGTACTTTGTTTGTTGAGGAGCACCCGTCACAAAACGTTGATAACCATTGGTTATCACAAACTTCTTTAAAAACCTTAAGATATAAATATATCGAACGGCAAACAAAAATAGTTTCAAAATCACTCGCTTTATATTGCATTCTTTTAGTTTTTCTCAGTATAAACTGTAGGTAGAACAAATCCAGTACCTCTTTCAGTCAACGATATCGTCCTTGAGCTTGGCAAGTCGCGTATTCTGTGTAGTAATACCAGCCACAGAGCCATCGTAGTGCAAGCTGCAACGGCTCCGAGTCTTTTTGTTAGCCTTTTTCTTGGTAAGAGCCGGCTAAGAGTCTAAAAGGATCGTTTTCTTTGTCACCAGAAGTACCTATTGTTGAGTTCGACGAACCTGATGTAAAATTCTATTATCTTCCTCGGCACAAAGTGATGACGAGGGGGTTATTGGGCAAAGAAAAATGCCATATATTAAATGGGAGTCAGTAAACAGGCACTGAAAAACGGCCTTTACCTGTGCATCAATCGAAAACGTTTAATAGAAGTTAGACGTCGACAATACGTGAATATATCGAGTAGCACATTGGTTATAGGCACTTAGCGGAGACCGTGGACACTATCTGCGCATGTACATGTACATGTACATAAAGGCAGTCCATAAGCATATTACGACTAGTAACATTTTACCTAGCTCAGTCGTATATAACACAGTACGAATAACTGTACGAGAATAGCTATGCTTCTCCATGTGAGAAGCAGAGTAAACACAGGCGCGTCGAGCTTTCGCAAGTTTCAACCTCATATATATATATATACATCTTTTTGCGTTGATGGGTTGAGCAGACATACGAGCGCGTCGTTATTGTTATCCTTCTAAATGAGACCTTATCATGGACAAAAACAAAGCAGCTTCTCATATTGTATATTATTCGTATATGACGCACGTGCTTTCCCGACGTCTTTTATCAATCCACTGAAGATAATTGCTTGTGAAAAATTTCGGTCCGCATACGATTTAGGCAAACGTACGACTAATCAGGATTGATTTTGAAAGATTTTTTTAGCAGCGTTTACGACAAAAACTAGGGACTTGCAAGTAACGCCTGCCGCGCTGCTTGGCACATTTGCGCACGATCTCTTGCTCAGACGAGCGTTGGCGTAATAAAACAGGCACTCTAATTAATTATTGTTGCTACAACCTGCAGGCTCAGTGCCCTAAGGAATTCTGAGTTAGCTCTGCACCAATATCCTTCACACAACATATAAATACGTATATGGTATTTTGAATACAAGTGTTTTTGAACGACATTACGTTTCCATAAAAATCGCGTTTCCTGGAAGAGGGGTTCGACCTTATGAATGAATCGGCTTGTTGCAACGCTAAACGTGCAATATGTATTTTTGTGTTCTGTGGGAGTACGACGAGAGTATTTTTTCGACGATAATATATAACGATTCATGATAGAAGACAGGAGATTTTCCCAAAGATACTACTAGCGACAGCACAGTATGTTTCTATCAGACTAACTACTCATACACAAATGTCAATAGCTACTAACGGAGGTACAGGTGACTGAACGTCCGCATCAGCGGGCGACGATGGGATAGATCGAGCGAAGGGAAATGCTTGTTGATCGACCGCGAAACGCGCAGCTTGTGCGCTGAAGGTAGCTTCTTGCCATGATCCTGCTAGACCTATGTCAGATATACTTCAAAGCGACCTAAACAAGCGATGCTATCGGCGCAAGTATTTTCTAATACCCTTAAGTGTATTCATCATTAATATCGATATGAGAGCTTTGCTCGATCACTAACGATTGATAGAAAAAGTCGGTAAATAATAAATTTTTAATAAGAAATTTTGCAAGTGTGTGCACGTAACACACAGATTAGGTAGGTAAACGCCTTGCGACAATGGTTACGCCAACCGTATTCTAACAATATAGCCCGTGCGAATGTATAGGTGCGATGAAGCATGCGTGAGATGGATAGGACGCAAAGCAGGATGCCCCTTTGTGTATGAACACACGGACAGATGAATATCGAAGTGGTGGCTCGCCCGTGACAAAGCAAACGGACGCACAGGTAGCGGGGGGACAAGAGTGTCCCGTAGTTCCCCTGGACTAAAATCTCGTTTCGCGAAGACAGGCACAAGAAACAAGATAGTCATTAATAATAGCCCATTAAATATATGTTGCCGCTTTTCGCCGGTGTCAGCGTCGAGCGACATGCAACGGTTCGCTTTGAGCAAATGCTTGTAGTCACAAATGTACTCGCTATGAGAACCTTAATATAATAATGCGTAATGTAAAAACGTAATGAGATTAAAATCAGTAGTAACAGCAGCGCAAAGGATACAGTCATACAAACGTTAGCAGCGATGAGACCGAATGGGGGTCTCAGGGGCGGTTTTTCGCCTTTTCTTGATCGAGCGAAAACTAGTGTTTCTCTTCGCCGTAACGAGGCTATCGGTTTGAGTTCTCGTAATTTGTTAAAAGTTGTCCACATATCCGGAGTGTGTCACCTCTGTTCGAACGATCGGGCCCCCATGACCTGTTCCTGGTTTGGGGCTCGCCAGAGTAGAAGGTTTTGCAGCCGTCATAATTTGCAACGATTTTTTTGCATTAAACAACTGTTTGCTAAGGTCTGTCCGTACCCGATTCTCAGCTTGTACTGCGATGTAACATTTACGTTCTAACATATGTATCTAGGACAAAAACTCCTCTCTTAATTGATATATTTTCATGATAACAACAACAGCACTATTGATACAAGAAGGCGTAATGCTAGTCCTACTAACAATAGTAACCATGTACATTTTCGATTCATTCAAGGTAGTTCTGGTCTCTGTGAGACTGGCGGGCTAGGCCCCCTTGTTATTCAATGTGTAAATACGACCTTAATTAACTATATATCGGCAAGCAAGACCGCCAAAACTCGACGAGGATGTATTATCTCTCAATGTAAATATATATATATATATATATATAATAGAGAGACATATAAACACGTAACATTATCCACCGATAATGTTGAAGCCAGGCAAAGAAGCATACCGGATATACAAATATCATTCATAAATGTGACAACAATAAAGAAAAAACTGCAAAATAAATGTCAGACGTTGTAATAGCGCAGTTGCATTGTGTTGAAAGTTGACAACGTATCTGTCTGTTTTTTTCTCATACAGCGAACTTATAAAAGGTAGACGAATGTACTTGATAGATTTCAAACTTCTAAAAGTTTGCTTTATCACCGTGTCGAGCAGAAGTTGGTATTAATAGCAGCGAGAAGCCTGACTGTTATAGCTGATAATGTATTACTGGTCAGTCAGCTCACTTTAGACGAAAATATCAATTTGTTTAGTATTGGTGACGTCTAGACAATGACACGCAGGTTCGAATTCTGATGTATCTAAGATATATCTACCTATCGAGGAGATTTTGCCTGGAATTCAGTCTTCTGGTACGCCTTCTGACCTGTAAGTGCCAAAGGGATATTCCGTTTTCCCTTGTCGTAATGCTCCAAATCAATTGCTGTAGCTTGTAAAGCGAATGGAGTGAAGAAGAACTTGCAAAATGCCTCTGGGCGGCTGAAGGACGCAAGTACAGTTCTAGCTTTCGTAGATTCCAGCTGAAGTAGATGATCGGGGAGACGTGCGAGCAGTCATCACGCTGGTCGCTCGTATTCGACAAAAAAGAACCCGCCGTGTTGAGAGTGTATTAGAGATCTTGTCCATAGGAAAAAAACGGATTGTCCGTGTTTCGAGCAGCTTACGCTATGGTTCACGAAGGGTCTGTGCTTTTGTGCTATTTTTATTAAATATCATAATTATTATTAAATAGTTCCTCTTAGAATATTTCAGTTGTGTCGTTTGAACGAATTATTCTATTATCATCTAATTACGTTTATCCCGACTTTACAAATAAGTACCAATATTACGTGGCTTATAGATCCTTTTTCTCAATCACTATATGCATTGTAAGGAACGCGTTTTAAAAGTTCTTCAATCCAGTAGGCCTCCTTGTCTCTCCAAAATGCTCTGCGGTTATGGCTACAAAAGCTGGAGCTGTTTTCGAATTTACCGTTCAATTAGGCAGGTCGAAAGGTATAGCAAAGGTCCACAGAGTTGTACTGCGTTGTTTGAGATCGACTTGGGAATGGCTCAGAGTGTGGCGCATCCACCAGCTTACAATTCAACTGGGTCATTGTATGTATTTCAATAGGACAGCGAAAGATATTCATAGTGCTTTTCAAGATTAACTTAATCGGATTGAAATCTGTATAGCTATCGTCGTGGTAGCAGTATTGCTCTGGCGAAAACAATTACTGTTCGTAGATTGGATTTTAATCATTGGCCATGCTCATCCGAGATTCGATATGTTCAATGACGAAATTGTTTTATTTACAAAAATGTGCTATGCCAATATGGTCCTTAGAACATTTTTCGGAGCAATTATAAGCAACGCGTCAGTAGGTACGGAACTATTAGTAGGTGCACCAGATTCGAAGTTCAACCAGATCGTGCGAAAAAATTATGCTTCGCGTTAAGCGGGACTGCGAAGGCTTTACTCGCTAGCAGTTGCCTTCTACGGGTCAGGCACCTGATCGGGATGCTTATTTGATTCAGATGCATCGGGTCCACCAGGCTGTCCAAGAGGAAAGACCCGATAAACCGAGTCAGGTCATCCTGCTGCATGACACCATGAAGTTACTTACGGCAAACGTTGTCAAAGCAGTTCTTCTGGATTTCACATAGAAATATTTGTTGCACTCTCCGAATTTTCAACTTTCCCGATAAAAAACGTGGTTAGAACATTTCGAGCCCGCAAGACGGCGTGCATAATTTGATAAAAATTAAGGAAGGAATCACGAACAATGACGGAAGATACATTCCTCTAACTTAATAATGATATTTTGACTTATTTCGACATGCACATATATACTCATTCCTACGAAGTTGTGTAATCTAAAGCAGTTTACTTTCGGCAACTTCTCTATCCAATTAGCGTCAACGGCGCATGGTTCCGCATATGCTTGATATGCAGAACTCCCTATAGACCCCTGAGGGATCATGTAATACAACTCAACGTGATTATTCCAAAAAAACGTGGCTTGCTTTTAGCTTACCTTTAAAATATAGCAAAGACTATTGTATGATGTGGTGCGCGCAGAGGTATTTCATTTTTTGAGATTAGGTCACAACGAAAATTCGATTTCACAGGTTGCACTAAATTTTTTGGCCCGGGTGCATTTAAATACACCTAAATGTTGTATAATCGTACAATTTAAAATGAACGTTTTTTTTTTCTAAAAAAATACGGTGCTATGTACACAGCCCCACCTTACCCTATATATACACCTCTGTCTGTAAGTTGAATAAAGGATAATTACAATAATAATAATAGTCATCATCATATATTTAGTATAGAAAAAAATAGTGATTATATAATTGTGATTTTTTAGGAACATAAGGATATTAGGAAAAGTCTAAGTATAGCTAAGTTTAGGAAAATCTTAAATTTATGAAAAAGCTATTAGATTTACTCTAAACATTATTGATTTAACTCATCGTAATTGATGGCAATCTGAGCTATAATTAATGTAATGATTGTTGTAAGCAATGTTGGCATAAATCAGGTTCCAATATCCACTGAATATTATAATAGACCTACAATATAGGAAAGGTGCGATCTTTTTAGTTTATACATAACAAACAAAATTTTAAGATGGCCTTCTTCAAAAGCTACCTCTTTCTATTTTTAATTTCATTAGTTAATCATTCTGAAGCAGTTATCCTAAAAATAGTCCAGCTGTGACGGTCTAGCTGTCTAAACACTTCGCTAAAACAAAGTACTAGAAACAAAATTTACCTATATTTAGATGATACATAATATATATTTAATACAATATACCTGAATAATACATAATTCACATACATAATACATAAATAATAACTTCTAATAATCATATTTTGATTTGTTAGATATAGGAAGCTGGAATGTAGCCTTGTAAACTACCAACTTCTTTCGTCGTTTTATTTGTCAATTATGTATGACTTAACAACTCTCCAATAGCTAATTATATATATGTCAGATGGAATATTACTATGCATTAGTTTTATATTCTTCTCATGCCCATCGTATCGCTGGAGCCGAAATGTTAAAACACGACAGCATGGCGTTTTTTTTTTTTGTTTTTGTCATCAGGGGGTCATTAGCTAAAACCAGCGCGATCACGTTCTGCGATAAAGGCGAACCTTGTGTCTCCACTTCATCTCGATTGCCTATTTGTGAAGCAGGGGCCATTGTCCGCTGTCCGACATTCCTCTGACCTGAATCTTGTTCGGGTGCTCCGATCAGGTCAACCTGGCCCGATTCCCTGGGCTCATGAGTTCATCCTCGCCGTTGCCCCTGCCCTCTTTTCTACCCGCTGTTGGCAAACTAGCCTGATCCGCTTGCTATGGAGAGTCCTGCGGTCTGCTCGTACGGGTTCGTTCAACGCGACCGACGGTCTCCTAGGGTCGCTATGGTAACCCAGAGCGTGCACAGAGCACCACAGCGCCGCACAACTCGCAGGTGTCGTTTGCTTGCAGGCACAGACTGAGGGATGTCAACGTGACTTTCTGTGTTGCTATAGCCATCCGACAAGCCGGCCTTAAAATGACAGCTGTCTTTTACTGTAGGCGATTAGTAATGGGGTCGAAGTGGTCGGACACAATTGAGAATCAACAGTTAATATTAACGTTAACAATGTCGACTACTTTAACGTGTACGAAAGTAAGTAGTGGCCTTTTTCGAAGTAGCCTAGGTCAGGCAGCGTCGACTAGGAGAATAGGACAAAAGACAGTGTCCCGAAGCGGGTTCTACAGGTACTGTGAGTAACTGTTTAGAAAGGCAACTCTTATAATCAGACGTGTGGAACTACTATGAGGTGACGGCTACAGCGAGGACGAAAATCCCATTGTCATCAGCGCCGTCAAAATGGAAAGACTGAAACGAGCCATCGAAAGTGAGGTCGGTCGAGACATCGAGCGACTTGTCGAACGCCGCACTTCAGCTAGCGGCCTCGATGAGCTTCTAGAACGGCTTGCGCCGTCGGACACCTGGCGCCGTTTTCGGCGGCGCTACATATTGGCTACAGTTGACGCGGATTATAACTGCAATTCACGGTTTAACGGTTATAGCCGAATACTTCCACCGTCGTCAGCAAGATCGATCAGACCGGATCATTTAACTCGTCGATTTTCCGTCGATATGGTTATCGCCGACGCGAAGGATGATCATAGTTTAACTTCAATCGGTTCGATTTCGAGCGTCTCAACGACGGACACCGTCATAGTGTTTGGTGATGTTGAGATTCTTCACGTTTGCGAACTGTTGGTAAACGACGATAACATATCAAAGCTACAGGGTTTGGACATGCTCGCCAGAGCATCGAACGCTGAAAATTTTATTCGATCTGAGGAATGGGGTATGTTGGAAAAGTTGCTGAAATCGTGTCTCTTCATCGATAATTCACTGATACGATCTGAAGTCACTTGCATCTACCGGGCGATGATCTGCTCCAGTGATGACAGGACGAGCCTTACTGCATATTCGAGTCTACTGGGCGCCGTCTGCAATCTCGTTTGTCGCGGCAAAGAAATAAGCAACGTTGATCGGCTCCGTCAGGCGATATATCTTCTCGACTGCATTAACGACTACCACAAAGAGTGCATTGCTCACCGGTGGCTGCGAACGCCGACTCATATAGTGGCTGCGTTTGTTCGAACGACGTTGGAGGGCTTAGCTGACGATCGAGTGTGGACGCTGCTAGCGGGGGTAGATCCTACGGCTGGGTGGTTACAGGGATGGCTGGCAGCTGCCCCTGTACGGGCAGTAGTTATGGCAGAAATTCGCGCCAAATCGCTGTTTCTACGGATTGCCGTGTCGCGTATAGCAGACGATCGCGCTCAGAAAACCGTTCTTTTGTACTCGTGTTGCGTTTTGCTGCACTTTCTTCGTTACGAAGAGGGCCGGCAAGTAATTGATCTAGCTGTCGGTACCGACCACGCCAACTCGTGGTTCACGGTATTAATCAACTGTGTCAAGATCGTGTTTCAATTTCAGCCCGATCCAAGCCTAAAGGACCTGTACCTCCAGACAGTATCCGCTGTTAGTCCTTTTCTGACGGTGAACCACTTGTGCGAACTTATTCACCTGAGTGTCGGCTTGTTTCCGCGCAAAGTTCAAACAGATACACATCTCGAGCAGTTCGATTGGGCAACTAGCTTTCTTCTGACACTCGTCAAAAGTCCGTCCAGTCGTCACGTAGTTGTGCAGTCATTCATTAAGGACCACATTGGATCAGAGAACCTATTTCAGGTGTTTCGTTCAAGTTTCACCCTGAACAATGTCCACGTGAGCCTGAGTACGCCTGTGTTTTACCTCGGTCTCCGGAAAACCGTCCAGGCGTGCTCACACATCGTGGCTCATCCTCTCTTTCTGTTACATTATCATCTATCAAACGTGGCTTCGCTGGTACTGGACGTGCTCTCACTGGACACGGTGCTCCCACGAGGTTTTGTAGTACGGATGTCCCTCACAAGTATTGGTCGAGCCTTGTGGCGTCGGGGCGTTCTCGAACAGAATGCCCCGCGTATTCTCAATGATCTGTGTCGTTTTGAGGGCCGCGTCTCCGAAACTCTAATGATAACGAATTTTATTGATTTCGTCCCTCCGACACAGTTGACCGTGATCCTAGATAAAGTAGGTATGCACATATGGAAACGTCATGCGAGTGACGATGCCCGTCTAGAAGCGCTCCTTTGCATTTATGCCCCATGTCGAAACGTAGAAATCATTCTAGAGTGTGTAGTCGAAAACTCGGTCATTGATCGAAATCTGTTTCGGGACGTCTTGTTGTTGCCAGCCAATAAGCGTCTAACCGAAGACCAACTGATCATGTCGCTAACGGTTTTGTCTGTCATCTGCTCCTCACTGCCTTCGTTTATTTACATCCAGAAGCGTTTTCGACTCATTGAAGCGCTTCGGCATGAACTGCTAAACCATATCGGTGACCAGGACCAATATGTCGCTGACGAAGTCTCGAATCATGTCGATTCGTTAATATCTCGCGTGACTCTTGTAGGTGGACATTCTGAACGGCTTATATCGGGCTTCAACGCTTCAGGTCAACTGAAGCCCGCCAGAAAAGCAATTATCTCTATAGCGCGTACTTGTAGAATGAATAAAGACATGAGTATTAATCTGAGATATTTCGATGAACTGATTCAAGGCCAGGGAAAATTTAACCGGTTTCAGTTTGAAGAACTATTTTCGCTTGTTCCAGAACAAGAAATTCGTCACGTAGATGTGCTTCCGTTAAATGATGAAAATATTGGGCTGCAGCTACTCCTTACGTACAACAAGTATTTACAGCTAATCGACAAGACCAATAAGGATCTCAATATGGCCTGGGCACAGGTACAGGCTAACGCAGTGGCAATTACTGGGTCACATCGAACGTTCGACTTTTGGTTAGCCTCGCTGTTCCTTCTGTGTCGGGGTAATGTTGGACGTACGTTGATGTTGCAGTCTCGATTGATCGAGTCCGGTTCTCACTTCGTGTCGTTTCCCTTTGTAGATTTCCCGGGTTACTCCGGCGATGTGCTTGTGGCTGCGACGACATGTCAGGCCTTCGAGCTTATTATTTTTAAGGAGTTTCCGCAAGTGTACTTCGCATTGCGTCGGGCAAACTACCTTATAAGAAACGTTGTCAGTTTTTGGGTTGGACAGGCATTCTGGAACGTATTGAACATGGATGAGATTGCAACACTCTTAGCCATTTCCATCGTATACGGTACCGACCACATTGTTTACATTTGTGCGGCGATTGTGCGTCACCTACAGAACGACATCATCCGCTGGAGTCTGGAAGGAACACTTGGCCTCAAACTCCGACTTGAACCCGTCGTCGATTTCAAGTATAGTGACCACCTAGAGTTCTGCCATGGGCTACGAAAGGTGTACAGAAAGCTTATCCAAGACGCGATCGAATGTAACAAGCATTAATATTGGTTGGATTAAATTGATAATTGATGAGTAACTGATTTATTCAGATCTATGGACGAATGATTGTTGACTAAATGAAAGAGCTGCTTGACAGTTCCTGTGTATTGAATCCAATGATGGCGACAACTAACAAGCGAATACGGAGCGATATTTTTTGAAGACTCCCCTAACTGTACACTCGCGACGCAGCTACCTGACCTTTACAAGTAGAACTGTGTGTTGGTCTATGTATATCGGCGCAAATGTAGTTGACGTTCCGCACATTATTGACGGGCTGGTTTGTTTTGTCACATGGACTCGTCTTTCTACGAGGCATGGGCAACGGAAACCCATAATTCATCGAACACTTGAGAATGGAAGGAACGTACATATGCTTCGCCTATACGTTTGGTAAAATTCTTAAAATAAATATAGTAATGGTGTGATCATGCGTGTCATCGTTTCTATTATGTTGATCTGGACAAATTACGCCGGATCGTTCTGAGGAGCGGCAATATTATCTCGAGGCTTTTGACGAAAGCACAGAACTGTCTGTAATCTGTTACGCAGTGACAGGTATGACGCAACGAAATAGTACAGCACAGTACATATTGATAACGTGCCCCAGATGGGGATCTAATTAGGTGTTTAAGGCTCAACAAGTTGCTAACAATAATGTTGTCCTAGAATTAAGTAAATATGCAGGACACCACAATGAATAGGGCGCTTTTATATAATATGTGATACGCTTGCTCGCTTTTGCGGAAATGTCCAAATTCAATCTTCTCTTGCTCCTACGTGTATTGCCGTTCCTATTCGTATTTTTCTCAAAATCTGACCTCGCTCATAACGCGAATTCAAATCATTCTGCTCTATCGATTATCTTTTATGGGTAGCTAATGTATCGGGGGAAGGTAAGATCACAATCGTAACGTAATAGGTACTATTTTTTCAAGCTTAGTCAACCAAACGTTACCTCGGGACGATCGTAGGGATAGGTTAATTTGCTGAAAATAAATATGTAACTTTTTGAATTTTATCAACTGGTTACAGGTAAGCCTAATAATAGCTCAAAGCCTAGTTTTGTGTGGCTTTATTTGAGGTGTTATTATTTTTATTTACTATTATTACAATCTTTGATTGTTTTTAGAAAACACTTTATAAAACTTAGATTCTCTGTTAAACGTAGAATACGTTGAATAAAGTTCCTCGAGCTTTGGTGCACGTGCTACACTTGCTGCTCTTCGTACGCCCAAAATGAAAGTTCACAAAGCTTTTTACACTTTCGTACCGTTAGATAGCTTTAACCTAAGCTCTAAGCCTTCGACCTTGACGATTCCGTTTAATGCACCATTTAGAAAACAACAACGAAAAATTCGATTTTAAATCTATCTTGTTAGACTCATATCTCGGGCAAGGATACCTTGAGGGAAAAAATTGTATGCTCCATACTCACCAAAAATAGTCGGCCAGTCGAACTGTTTGGGTTAGTAAGATCTTCACGTTAGCCGGTGCGTCGATTTTCTTTCTCTTCACAAATTCACTATATTCTTACTGTTATTCAGCTCGTTCAATACCGCTTACATAAAGTATGTTGCAGTAATGAAAATAACGCTAAAGGAACAGACGGAATGTGTTGATCTGTACTTGTTTAATGGCTATCTATGTCTATCTGTTTATACCTGTGTTCCTCTATCTCTCTAAATGTTCTATTAACAGCGGTGGGACTAATTTTATCTCACATGGGTTACCATCCTGAAATGGCTCGCCTGTCACATCTCGGTGATGGGGGGGGGGGGGGAATATTTGCTTTCGAGGGTGGTTTCTTATTAATTTCGGACGAATTCGATTTGTTCTGGGCGATTTTGTTAGACAAACAAAACATGCAGGAACTTTAATTTTTGCTACTTACAATCAAAATGAATTTTGAACTTTTAATGAAAATTGCTGGAAATCACTAAAATATGTTGATCTGATCTGATCTGATATAAGAAGGTGTGGTAAAATTTTAAGTTAATAATAACGTTCGAACAGGTTACGTAGCAAATGCTGCAAAGAGAGCAACAAAACTACAACAGCGTAAGAATCCAAAAGTTTTGAATGATAGATTGATGGACTGGTTTAAGCTTAAGTTGAAGTATGTAGATGTCGAAGTAGCGGAATTACTTCTTTCAGAGGATGCATACATATAACGTAGTAACGGCTGAATTGGAACGAAGCATCGAAATTCTGAGGAAATCTGCGCAACAACGTAGCGGAGTAAGTGGAATAAAATATCCGATATAGAAGTATAGGATAGAT